CTTCTGCTGCCCCTCTGTGATCAGTCACATTAACTCCATAAGCTTCGGAGCAGATTATGGCGACATCTAATATTGGCCCCTTTAGGACTTGAGCGTGAGGTCAAGCAAACACACAAAGCAGTCGTTATGCTCTCTACAATCCCAGAGACCTGGGGAAACTGGAGGTGGGGCAGTGAGGTGGGGCATAGTCTAGGAACTGAGCTGTCTGAGGCAGGAAATCAGCCTGAAAGGAGATGGAAGGGCTTTGGTGGGAAATAAATGGCACTGTGTTGTTGACGGAAAAAGATCTTGGCAGGACTGTTGTTGTGAGTGTTCTGTGGCTTAGAGAGGAATTTCCTACAGGCTGGACTAACCATTAAAAATGTCTCTACCTTCAGAAGTCCCAGGCATGCAGTAGAGCCTCGCTGGAGGAAATGTCAGCTTGGACCATGGGTACCCGCAGTCTGGACAAGCGAGGAAGTTTCTTTAAGGTAAAAAGAAACCTTGATGGGATCGCTAAGCAGCAGCTTGCTCCCTTCGCTGGGCTGCATGGGGAGCTGCAGGCGCTCCGGCAAGCTGCAGGGGAACCCTGCTCTCTGAGCCAGCTCTGGCTGGGGGAGCTCGCCTGAGCCCAGCTGCGAGCTGTTACTAGGTTTGAGAGTAGGTTGGGTTTTTTTTGAATTAGTGCTTCCAAACAGGCCCAGGACCCAGGAGAGAGAAGCCACCTGTATAAGACAGTTGAGGCAATCTTTGTCAGTTGTTCAGCTCTTCTTATTTCAGCTGGATGGTTTTACGATGGAAGTTGGACTTTACATTCCAGTGAAGCAATGATATTGGCCCTGTGTTTTGCACTTTGCTTCGTCGTATGAATCACTGAAGTGCTCGTAAAAAAAAAAAAAAGAACAACAACAAACATGTTTCTGGGCCTCACCCTAGACTGATTGAATGTTATTTGCTGGTATATTTTATCCAACCCCCAGAGGTCTCTTATGGTCAAGCAAGAGAGAACCAAGGCAGCATGGTTAAAATTGTATAACTTTTCTGTATACATATTGATGTCAATGGGATAAGGTTCTCTTACTAGTTTAAAGAGATAAGAGTCTAGATGGGTATTTTATATACTATATGTGTATTTGTTTTAAATTAAGACTTGGTGGTCATTTCTAATTAACATTTGGAAATTAATTTCCTTCTTATGGCTTTTGCTCTGTCCTTTCACCCACCCTCAAAATAATGCATACTCATTGTAGAAAATTTGGAAAATACAGAAGCATGTAAAAGAGCAGAAAAGGGAAGGTAAAATGTACATTTGAAATCTGTCATATGCAGGTGTGCAAACACCAAATTTTTCCTCAAAGGATTGGAATGATATAGAGGCCTCTTAACTTTATTACAGAGGAAAACTGACAATTTTACTAATTTCCTCACCCTGATGGGTTGTAAGTATGTATTAACTTGCAATTAAATAATTTCTGCTTCCAAGAGACCAAACCTGATTTTTTCTGTCAATTATGGACTCCAAAAAATCCATCAGAAGACACCGTTGCTAAAGGAAAGCTAAGTGCAGTAAGCTGACTGTGGTAAGAGAGGACAGTGTCAGGACATGGCCCTGTTGGCATCTAAGCAAGAAGAGGTCGGGAGGCGTATCTGTAAGGTGTAGAGGTTTAGGTCCAAGTTCCTTAAGCTGTGTTTTTCAAGGCAGAGAAATGATTGGGTTTCAACAAAGTTTGTGACGTAGTAGTTCAGGATTGGTAGATACAGCAAGACGAGGGTCTTGAGTCCTGGCGAGTAAACCATTATTGATAAGCTAGCTACTTTCCCAGATGAACAAACTGTTTGCCAGGACAGATTGTTTTGTAGGAATTTCCTGCAGCAAACAGCCAAGTTATTTATTAGTTTATAACCTAACTTTTGGGGCAAGAATATACTGGCAAAAATGGTTATGTTGACACAGATGGTCTCGATTCTCAGTACTAATAGTTAAGCTATGTGGACATAGCAGTCTCAATTCTCAATCGGTTTACTCAGTTTGAATCAAACCTGTCTAACTTCCACCTCGCAGATGAGGGGCTCCTCCAGTCTCCTGTAGACCAGGTGCTAGACCCACTAGGCTACTGACTCATCTCCAGCTCCTGGATTCTGTCTTAGGCTGAGATATTTATTTCATTCTGGCAAAAGGAATGAACCCAACCCCCTCCTTAACCCAAGGCACTGCCTCCATCAGCCTAAATACTGGCTAGTTCATAATTACCACCTTATGCTCAGGAAGTATAGTGGGATTGAATCTTACATAGCAGTTAGAAATTAAAGTCAAGGCAAAAGGAGAAAATTGAGTACAGTTAAAATTGCCTTTGGAATTTCTTTAGGAAGGGGCCTTGTTGGACTAAGTTTTTCCTTCAGTCCTGTGAAAAAAAATATTTATTTACTTTTTAATTTTCAGTTGAATAGTAGGTTAAATGTAGTTGCCTTGTATTTCTGGGCTATGTCTTATGAAAGAATCAATCAGGCAAGTGGTGAGAGCCCTTGCTAAGAGCAAGTTCTAGGTGTCCATCTTTCCTGGTTCAAATGCCCTTGAGGAAAATGTGGGCAAAGTGGCCTGCGCTATTTAACTCGGTGTTATCTGTTTTGTTTTTGTTTTGCAGACCTTAAATTTCAGTTATTCCATGTAAATGATAGAGTTACCTAATACAGTTGACCCTTGAATAACATGGATTTTTTTCAATAAATAAAATTGACTCTTTGTATCTGAGAGTTTTCCAACTGCAGTTTTCCAGCCATGGATCAAAAATACTGTTTTCCATCTGAGGTTGGTTTACTCTGTAGATGAAAAGGCCGACTGTAGAGTCAAAGCTTTATGAATAATTTTGATTGTCTGGAGGTCAGTGCAATTCAAGGGTCAACTGTACTTCTTTCCTCTTCTTTATAGATATTATTCTTTACTGTGGCAATCCATGATTAGTTATTATGGAATAATATTATTATTAATCATAATTTAAATAAATAAATATTATTGTTAATTATTCCATAATTTAGACATGTAGTTATCTGTAAGGATGAAGTAAACTGCCCATTGGACATTTAATACCGACTCTATAGAGGTTCGTTTTAAAAAAGGCTTGAGTTCAGTTGTTGAGATGGCTTGTCACTCAGTGCTTTCTGGGACCTGCTGTGGGCCTTCTTTTACTCCTCACGATTGCATTGTGATGCACCTATGCATTTAAATATTGAGCACCTGTGACCATCCAGGCTCTGTGCTAAGAAGAGAAAAATTAGAAGCCATCCCTGACCTCATGGAGTTTTCGGTCTGGTTGCAAAGAAAGATATTAATCAAATAATCACAACATTTAACCTACGCTAATAAATCATAAGAGAAAACATGTTTCCCGTGAGAAGTAAAAGGGGCTTTGAGAACATATGATGTAACGTGGGGTTCCAGAGAAATCTCTCCTGAGGAAGTGGTCTTTGATTTGCGAGCTAAGATTGACTCCATGTTACCTTGGGAGTTGGGTAGAGTTAGATTTCAAATGACTCTTCTGCTACTGCATTGCCATTTCTCCACATATACCAGCAGTGCCTTATAACCAGATTGGACAGTTTCATAAAGCATGAGAATTCTTGGTTATTCTTGGCTCACAGCTAAATTCCACATGCTTATTATTATACCTTTCTTGGTTATTAGGACTCATGTGATTTTGTGTAAAGTGTAGATAATTGAAAAGCAATTGTTGGACCTCTTTTTCATCATTATCTTCTCCTATCCAGTTTGTATATTTAAACCAGAGTTGCTAACCACTAGTAGCAAGCCTTGATTTGTGGCTTCCCATCTGACCTGGCTGATGGAAATGACTCAGATAAGTCACAGGACATGAGGATCGTGGATAATGCACAGATCGTCTGAGCATTGGGGTAATTGAGAATTCGCCATGGTTAGAGGAATCATATCCTGGAAAGCTGGCCACAGAAATCCTGTGCTGGGTAAACATTTTCCACAGTCATTTTTAGCACCATTGTTAATTTTCCTCAACCACCTGTGAGAAATAGTATCTTCCTGCTCTATAAATTCTCTGTGAAAACAAACGGGGAGGCTGGTGATAACCTGGACAAGTCAGCCAAAGTTATCTGCCCCTAAGTAACAGAAGTGGACACCTATTGCTATCAGATTTCAAGGGTGTGTTATATGAAAGAGATTGTGTAAGGAAAACATTGTCTAGGCAGGTTATGTTATAGATTGTCCTGCACTGGGGCACAGAAGCTCAAAGTCATCTCTGATGTCTTTTCTTGAATTCCAGAGCTTCCCCTAAATCACCCCACCCCCACCCCATCCAGGCGCCCAGTGCTGGCAAATCCCCCTCAAGTCTCCAAAATCTACACTCTACTTTCTTTTTTTTGGTCCACCTCCCTACTTAGCTTCTCATTCTTCATTTGTAGGCACAATGTATGATGCTTATAATTCATCTGTACCACTTCCGTATTGTTTATTTTCTCCCAGAACATTCCACCCACCTAATGTTACCTGCTTGCATGGTGGGCCCAGGACCAGGTCTGCACTCTTTCATTTGACATTCAAGAACTTTCGGGCTGTGTTTCCACCTTTCCCCGAACGTATCCTCTGTCAGCCCTGCCATTGTGCCATCATGGATCTGCACCTGTGGCCCAAACCTGCCGACGCCTGGACGCCAGACTTTGCCCATCCTTCCTCTTCTCCCTCACTTTTCACCTCGTCCATCAGGTTCCCAACTACCCTTTCATGTTAGCATACATCCACTTTATCTACTGACAAGGGAGCACCCATGGGCTAGCTGGTATCTACCTTTACTTTTATCTGAAGATGAAATTGTGGTAGAATTATTGTGTATGAAGGCCTAGCTGTGGCCCCAGCATAGTGCCAGGAAGTAAACTTTAACACATAACCTGGGCTCTGCCATGAGAGATTTGTTTTGTCCTTGTGACATCCCTGACCCTGAGAGGCATCCTCTTATAGCAGAGAACAATGTCAGAAAGGACTAGGGTGAATCATCCACTCAACAATTCTAATTTCTCTCAGGAATGCTGGGGTGAGCCTGCCTTTGCCAGCCTGCAAGTGGTATAGTTCCACTTTCTGAGTTCCTGCTTCCTGCCTCCTTTTGCTTCAAGGACCGGGGAACAAATATTTGGTTTTAACTAACCAGGAAGAAAATGTGTTTTGACTAGAGGGACCCTGCTGTCCTGTGGGGAGATGCCCTGAGCCTGGGCTCATAGACTAGCTGGGGTGTTCCAGCGCCCAGCTCTGCGGTGGAGGCTCAGTTTGAGAAATCCTCTTCTGGTCTTTTTGTGTGGTTTGAATAACATGTGCATCATGTCTCTCTTTAGAAACAGAAAGCCTGTGATCATGGTCCAGAGAAGACATAGGAGAGCTCTCTGGCACCATAAAGAATAGAGGTGTGACTCACTTTGAAGAAAACTTATCGCTAAAATCTGACTCTACAAAATAGATAAACCAGGTGATGATTCACTTCACCATACCTAACTTCTCTGAACTGTCAGTCTCTCCTTGGCATTTGGAAAGTTATTCCGCTTTCAGAAATTCTGTCTACAGGCAAATTTTCAATCATCCAGAACAGGCACCACTGCACATCTTGGGCCTCAGTGATTTGGGCATTTGAGTTTTCAGACTGTTCTTTGTGTGGAGAGTCATTTTTCTGCACACACAGCCAGGACAGCAATTCACTGCTGTGTAACAGTGGATAGAGGTGGCAGGGGTTTGAAAAATAATGTATAAAGCCCAAAATCACATTTTAGTTAATAATTTCTTTGAACAAATCTTTACATGGATCTCTGGTTGCTTAAAACTCATAGATATGAATGTTGCTTCCTCGATCTCCCAGCACGAACCCTGAATAGTGAAGAGACGTCATGTCCCATGCCAAGTGTCCAGAGCGGCACCATGTACCAGTCTATAACCAGGAAAGGATTAAGCACCCTTTGGAAACAAAATAGTGATTAGAGTTTCTGTTAGAGTGATTATAATCATTCATAATGATATTGCAAAGCATACTTGACATTTACACCTGGATAGGGCTTAGCAGTGCTGTCTCATAGAAATACAAAATAAGCCACAGATGTCATTTAAAATATTCTAATAAACAAATTTTTAAAAAGGGAGGAAATTGACTTTAATAATATTTTATTTAGCCTAGTATATCTAAAATATTATGTCAGCATGTAATGAATATAAAAATATTAATCATATATTTTACAGGGTTTTTTTTTTTTGTACCATGCCTTGAAATCCAGTGTGTATTTTACACTGAGCACATCTCAGTTCAGACTAGCCACATTTCCAGTGCTCAGTAGACACCAGCTGGTGGCTTCTATATTAGACAGGAAAGGCTTATATTTTATCTAGTCTAAACATCCTCCTTTTACAAATAGGGAAACTGAAGCCCAGGGAGGCTGAAGTGCCAGGGCTGGTTAGTGTACGGCAGGGATGGGAATCGGACCTGGCCTGACTTTCTCCTGTGGCACCCCCACCCTATTGTGGCTTCTGGAGTGTTCCGCTCTGATTCTTATTCCCCTTTTCCAGTGAGATCTCCCAGGAAACTCCATCTGGAGAGATCATCCGGACAGTGGCTCTCTGGAAGAGAGGTTCGCTTTTTTTGGATACACATGCATATCTCTCACCATCTGGTCCAAACGCCTCCAGGACACAGATCAGCCTCCAACCCCCTGCCCCACCCTGGGCATGACTTTCTAGGAATGCCATGAACTTATTGGACAGTAATTCCTGTTCATGCTTCCAAAAAGCAACGGATTTCATGGTTTTATAGGGGAATTCTTCCAGCACATTTTGGCCATCCATTTCTGATGTTACATGTTGCCTGTTGGGTCTCAACACATTCTCGCTTGCTTCGAGGAACTTTGTTTTTTAAAGTCAGGGGTGAAATAGGTTCCTCTGGCTCCCCTCAACTACATATTTCTCCGGGATTACTTGAAACTCTGAGTTTTCATAATTGGGAGGATGCCCAGGAGGGAGATGCAAGGTTTGAAGGACTATCGTGTCAAATGTGTAATTTTAAAGTTAAAACATGACTCTCATACAAATTAGAATGAATTTCTGTCAAAGCTCTATTCAACCAGGAAACTGATGGAAAGCTGGTTCAAAGTACATTTTCACAAATATATTTGTAGTCGACTTGGAAAGACATTCTGTATTAAGTTTGCTATGTTAAAAAAAAAAAAAACTGGTTAAAGTCCTGCAAGGCAATAAAATTGTAGCCTTTGGGGTAGTATTTTTTTCTGAGCATAAATCAGCAGGCTGACATGTAACCTCACAGGTCCTGAGCCCTTAATAGCACATAGCAAAGTCAAACACAGAGAATTAAGCATCTTTGGGTGGGTGGTGTTGGCATCGCCCAGAGCCTGTTAGCAAGGTAGCCTCCACCAGTGTTTCTCAAAGTGTGGTGTCAGCTTCCAGCATCGGCTTCACCTAGAAATTCTTAGACATGCAAATTCTCAGATTTCAACCCAGACCAAGTGAACCAGACACTCCAAAGGTGGGGCCCAGGAGTCTGTGTTTTAATAAGCCCACCAGGGGATTCACATTTGAGAATTACTGCTCTGCACTCTATATTTGAATGAACAAATGGGATGATACAAAAAGCATAGAAATGTCTGCATTCTAGACCTGGCTTCATGTCCCTGTCTGGAAAATGGAGTGATATTGCCTTCCCAGCTGGGTTGTGAACACCAGTTAGTTCAGACAGTACTTATATGATTTCAGTCACTCTCTCTAAGCCTTGGTGTTATTGCCACTGTCTGATAAGATGTCCTATTTTTTTTTCTGTCTGCTTTCCCATTACACCCCCACATTTTATTTGCTCACTCAAAAGTGGCTACACACAGACGCACCTATGGAGATGTTCAAAGGCAGGGTGACTCAGTTGTAACAGACCAAAGCAAAGTCACCCCTGGAGGTACAACTAGCTGGTATACTACAAGGCACAGGCAGCCCCTGAAACAAATTACCTGGCCCCAAATTCCACTGTGCTGAGGCTGAGAATTCCTGGTCTGCAATGGAAATTAGGAAATGACTCATTTCTGAGGTCTCTCTAACTATCTCTGGTGCAGCCCTTCCAGAAATAGAACTGAAAGCAAGAAAAATGCGTGTATGTACTTAGCACCTACTGTCCTGAATGTATATCACCTGAGACGAGCTTGAAACCTGGCCTTTGATAGTAGGTGTTCAATAAATGTGACGAATGAATGAAGAAATGTGTAATGCATGTGCCTGTATTATATATGTTGTTCATTTATTTTATTTGTAATGATTCAGCACCTATAATGGCAGGTCCTGTCCTTGGCACTGAGTGTACTGTGATGGGGGAGGCAGATAACAATTAGAGAAACCTGAGCTTGCAGGATGACAGGGCAGGGCTTCCTGAGTGGATGACTGGGGAGGGCGTCTGGAGCAGGTGGCATTTAAGCATAACTGCAGAAGAGAGACAAGGAGAAGAGCATTCCCAGAAAGGGAGAGACATGTGCAAAAGCTGGGGAGCAGTGCCTGAGACTCTGAGAGAACAAGGTGGAGAACATAATGGACGGTGAGGGTGGTGACTGGCATGAAGTAAAGGCTAGAGGGAAGCAGGGGCCAGTCATGTTGGCTGGGGAAGGAGTTGGGATTCCATTCTTAGTGCAGTTGGAAGCCAAGGAAGGTTTTGAGGAGAGGAGGGACATGAGCCAATATATGTGTAACCCTCAGAAAGCTCAGTGGGCATTAGCACTGTGGCTCTAATCAATCAGTCGAGAGAACTGAAGTGCAATTCAGATCTTCCCTGTTGTCCCTCAAAGGATGCCAGAGCCAGCCTCCTACCCAGTACACGTGCTTGCTGATCCCTCTCTATACTTCGTCCATGTGCCTAGCCACTCCCTCCAAAAATGCCCTTCTCCACTCTCTCAGAACTCCTCCCTGGTCTCACTGTCACCTCTGGTCTATTCTGCCTCACCCTCCACCATCTTGTCCTTATTGTGCCCATCATCTTGGCCTATTTGGAACCTTGCGTTTGATCATTTTCTTCTCTTCTCCTTAGAATCCACACAGCAAACAATGGGGCAGGGCTGACTCTCCACTTAGAAAAGGAGGAAGATTGCAAACTCTATTTATTTGTTATTGCCCATACTTTTTGAAATAACTTCCGTACCTGAAATATGTGGAGTGGACTGGAGGGAGCATCTGAGGGAAGGATTCAGTTCAGCAAACTGAGAGCCACAGGCCCAAGTCTGGCTGCGCACTTGTTTTTGTGATTGGCACCCAGGCACACCCATTCATTTTATTTATGATAGGCTACGGCTGCTTCCACCCAGCAACCACAGGGCCGAGTTGCTACAGAGACTGTGTCGCCCACAAAGCCTAAAACATAGGCTCTCTGGCCTTTTACAGAAGCCCACTGACTTGAGAGGTAATTGCATTTATTCACTAAATTTTCAAAGGCAATTTTGAGTGTGGGTAACAGTGTCTCCAATTTACAAATGAACACATGCCAGAGCCTGTAAGAGCTTGGTCTCTGGGGCAGGGCCCACTCTGAACCACACTATCTCCTCATATAGTTGGCCAGAAATAGCTAGAATGAATACGCCAGAGGTCTGAACCTCAGAGCCAGGTGGATACTGTAAACCAGGAAAGCCAACCCAGGTGACAGTTGATAATAGTAGCTGACATTGGGCTCGGAATTGGAGTACAATAGAGAATGGTGGAGAACTATAGCAAACTGAAGGGCAGATGTTTCGTCTAAAGAGGGCAACACGTTCCAGCTTTTTGAAAATTAGAAATGTTGGGTTGTCCTTGTGACATTTCTATTTTTCAAAAAGCTAGAACCTTTTTGAACTTTTCAACTTGAACTTGGGTTTTTATGTTAATCTCCTTAATTTTCATGAAATCATCTTTATTTTTAAATGTTGAAACTATTTTAACCATAAAAGACAGGATAAGCTCGTGTGAGGCAAGCTGGACAAAGCAAAAAAAAAGCTAACTGTGTCCAGAGGCCACCGGGAACCTCTGATATCCGACATACACATTGAAGTGACCTCTGATATATGACACACACATCGGAGTGACCTCTGATATCCGACATACACATTGGAGTGACCGTCAGAGCCTTCCTCAGGAAGGGTAGGTCTGCAACCGGGTAAGAAGCAGCTCTAGATAAGGCAGCTGGGAGTTGCCCTGGGCTCTCACCAGGAAAACTTCCAGACCAGCTGTTAGCCCTGGCTTCTGATCAAGCCTTCAGCTGGACACGGAGAGCAGCCTCATATTCTTATCAGCAGAGGGAAGGAAGTGCCCAGTAGCCAAAGCAGATATAGAGATGAAGGAAGATTGAGCTCAGAGAGGAGGCACATGGGTTCCAGTAGAGCCCCAGTGTCTGGTAAGTTTATCCTGGGGACAGGCAATAGGGCCTTTCCAGGAGTGCACACAATGACCTTTTCAAGCCCAGTATTACTTTTAGTGCTTCAAAGCTGTGCACCCTACCTGGGAAAATACTGATGGAAAGGTCATATGTTTGTAGGTCTGAGAACCCTGGCTGCCAATCCCCAATGCAACCATTACCAGCTGCTTAATGTGAGAAAAACACTCAGAGCCTCAGTTTCCTCATCTGTAAAATAAGATTACTAAAATCCCTTGTCCTGTCACACCAGGACAATGATGCTATGGATGGTATTTGCTGCAGAGAAGGCTGCTCGTTAAGTGGTAGCCATCATTGGCTGAGCTGGCTAACAAAATGTATTTATTTATCCTTCCTGTGACCTGTGACGTGGATTTCCTGACACTTTCCCAAAGTTAGGACAGCTTTCGTCTGTTCTCCACTCATCACATCAATAGTGCTATCACTTAAAGAACTGACAAGACTCATCCAGGAAGCATAATGTTATATTCTGTACATAGGAACTTTAGAAAGATTTTGGACATCAAAAGGTGGGGTAAAATAACCCTCTAGTGACTAGATTAATGCTGTGGAATGACTTACTCATTTCCAGCGTGCAAATGATGAGGATTGAGAACAATTCACATAACCCAAAGACATTTATTCATTCAGTACTAAGGCTTTAAGTTTAAAAGTTCAAAGTTTTTCAGAATCAAACTAGAGAGGCAGAAATTATGCCCAGGCAGAAGTTAGCACTCTACCTTCTCTTCTATTCCAAGTGATCAATAAATGTGGTCATTTGTTGAATATCTATTATTTGAAAGAGTGGGACTTTCTGTGTGAGTGACAGGGAAAAAAAATGCACACAGGGAACACCACGCCTGGTCTCAAGTTTTTGCTAATAATCTACTAAGAGACGTAAAACAAATACACTTGTTACCAGAGCAGCCTGTTTTATAATTTTCCTCCTTGAGCTCTCCTCATTATCTCTTTCACCCCTGCCACTAACTCCACAGTCCTTTCCCGCCCTACCCCCAAGACCACATTAAATGCCTTTCGAATTTCCAAATACTGAAAGATTTTGACCCACCACCATCATTGGTACGTAAGTAATGAATTTTAATTTTTCCCAAATGACATAAAAGTTAATTATGATGAAATTAAAACTTTTATTTTTGGAAACTTGATAGCCAAATGAGTCCATCAAAGATGAACATTTTTTTGCATGCTTGTGCCCCTGCGTGTTGGCACCCCAGGGAGTGCTCAGCAGCCCCACCCACTACTGGCATGTGCTGATTTTGGTTGGGCTCTTATGCCTATGGATGTGCCAAAAACCTTCCTTATGCTAGTTCCCTTCCACCCTCCCACCAAGTTATTATGGCCCCTTTTACAGGTGAGGAAATTGAGGCTCAGAGGGGCTATGGTCTTGCCCCACAGTCCCCACAGGTAGCGGGAGCTTAAGCTGGCTTTCTATTCAGGGCTGTGTGGTTCCAGGGCTCATCAGTAAGCTCAGCTGGCCTTCCTGGTGGCCACTGAGTGTTGGCTTTCCAGGGGTACTAAGCAGGAGCCCTGGTGAAGGGGCTCGGCTCTAAGTAGTTGGTATGAGCAGCGGCAGTAGCAGGGCCAGGCCTCAGAACCCTTGTGCAGGAAGAGGTGCGGCCCCCTGGGACATGCTTCCTCTGGCTTGTGTCCCAAGGACACATCAATGCATATTCTGAGGACAAGGAACTGAGCTGACCGAACTTTCCAAAGGAGAGATTTCCCAACAATAAGAATGTGCAGAGTGAGCTTTGGAGATATGCTGGGAGGAATTAGGGAAGTGGCTACTGGCAGCCTACTTTTTATTCTTGTATACATATTTTTAATTTTTTTCTTCCCTGGGGGTGGGGAAGGTGGTTTTTATTGATACAATTTAAAATTTACGGAAGAGTTACAAGAATAGCACAAGGTATTCCTTGTATTATATATTATATACTTTCATGTACGTGTGTACTATATCATTTCAAATTTTCATAGAAGTTGCAAGAATAATACAAAGGACTTCTATATACTCATTGTCCTAGGTCCAGATTCACCAACTGTTTACATTTGGTCCCTATTTGCCTTATCATTCTCTCTCTCTCTCTCTCACTCTTTCACACACATACACACACACACTCAAATTGTATAAATATGTAACTATCCTATAAATCGATCAATTTTGTCTCATATATAGTTACATATGTAATATGTTTTCTGAACCATTTCAGAATACTATGGAACATCATGCCATTTAAATCCTTCAATGTGTATTCCTAGGAGCAAGAACACTCTCTTACATAGTAACAACAGTACAGGATCAAGACCAAGAAATTAAACATTGATACAACATTGCCACAGTTATGTCCTTATACTGTTTCTTTTCCCATCATCCTGGAAACCAGGATGATTCATGCATTTAGGTGTCGTGATTATTTAGTTTCTGAATGGCATTGTTTTATTTATTTTATTGCATTTTTAACTTTTTGTTGACGTGTAATATACACACAGAAAGAATCCAGCTTCATGAATCCTAACAAAGTCAACATAGCTGTACAGGTTCTATGTGGTACCTAGATATGATGTCAAAAACATCAATCCCATGGTTAATCAGAATAGACTATTCTCAGGACAGGAACCCAGCACATGGCTGTACAGCCAGCCATGGCTTTGGGATCGGGCAATATGGGGTGACCATGGCTTTGACCGAAGGTCCTGCAGGGATCCTTTTTAACTTAGCTTTTACTTCCTCACCCTATGAATTCCTGTGGCCCCTTGCACCTATTTCAGAGTAAAAAACACTCAATGTGTTTTGATGATTGAATTAAGCTGAACATTCAA